AGAAAGCAAAGCCTGGCCTGCAAGCCCCATTGTTCCCTATGGAGCACCTCCCCCTCCAGTGGACTACCAGACTGGCAGCCATTTTAAAATAAACTGCTGCCTCTGCCTGGCAGCCATTTCGTTACACTCCCGATTAGGCTGCTCATATGGATTGTAGCTGTGTCACCAAGGGGGTACCATGTTATCTGTTTCTCCATGAGTTACAGAGTTAATATGGTACGACATCATAGTGAAATTGTTTTCCAGGAGCTGTCACACCGTCAAACACATGAAGCTGCCTTGTACTGAATCCGACCCTTGGTCCATTAAAGTCAGTATTGCCTAGTGAGAGTGGCAGCCGCTCTCCAAGGCCTCAGACAGAGAAGGGTCTTTCACATCACCTACTGCTTGGTCCTGTTGAACTGGAGGTGGCCATGGGGGACTGAACCTGGGACCGTCTGCATGCCGAGCAGAGGCTCTGCCTCTGGGCCATGGGCCCACCTTATTGTACTGTTTACAATAGAAAATTACTTGTTTAAGAACATTTGTGACAAATTAGTATTGATTATTTTCTTTGTTAAATGAGGGCATTTGTGGCTTTCTGCCATACATTAATTAGATGTGCTTTATGCCTGCTGAAGTTTTGAAAAGTTTTTCAGGAAAGTCCAGTTCATATATCAAATCTGTCTTTGACATTTCCTCTAATGGTACTTCACGTTTAAGCCATTTCCTCCATTAAAAGCCTTATCTTTGAATGCTAACTTCAGGCAGGGTTCATTAGTTTCCAAAGTGTCTCTTAAGTGGTGGAAATGAAAACTGAAGAGCCATAATTTTCCATTTGAGCAAACAGCAGCTAAGCAGCTGTAGCAAATGGAATCTAGTCTGGAATCTAGATTATGCATGATCAGAGATGAGGAAGCATACAGTTTGTTGTTGTTGTTCAGTCGCACAGTCGAGTCCAACTCTTCGCCGACCCCATGGACCAGATCCCACCAGGCCCTCCTGTCTTCCACTGTCCTCTGAAGTTTGCTCAATTTCATGTTCGTTGCATCTATGACACTGTCTAACCATCTCCTCCTTTGCCATCCCCGTCTTCTTTGATCTTCAATGTTTCCCAGCATCACGGTCTTCTCCAGTGAGTGCTCCCTTCTCATTTGGTGGCCAAAGTATTTGAGCTTCAGTTTCATGATCTGGCCTTCCAGGGAACAGTCAGGGTTGATTTCTTTTAGGATTGACTGATTTGATCTTCTTGCAGTCCAAGGGACTCTCAAGAGTCTTCTCCAGCACCATAGTTCAAAAGAATCTATTCTTCGGCGCTCGGCCTTCCTGATAGTCCAACTCTCGCAGCCATACATGACTACTGGGAATACCATTGCTTTGACCATGCGGACTTTTGTTGGCAGGGTGATGTCTCTACTTTTTATCATGCTGTTTAGGTTCGCCATCGCTTTCCTCCCAAGGAGCAGGCGTCTTTTAATTTCATGGCTGCTGTCACAGTCTGCGGTGATCTGGGCTCCCAGGAACGTGAAGTCTGTCACTACTTCCACGACTTCCCCTTCTATTTGCCAAGGAGTGATGGGGCTGGATGCCATGATCTTAGTTTTTTTGATGTTGAACTTCAAGCCCACTTTTGCGCTCTCCTCTTTTACCCTGAGCAAGAGGCTCTTAAGGTCCTCTTCACTTTCTGCCATTAGAGGGTATCGTCTGCATATCTGAGGTTGTTGATCTTTTCCCCAGCAATCTTAATTCCCGCTTGTGATTCATCCAGGCCAGCATTTCGCATGATGTACTCTGCATATATATTAAATAAGCAAGGCGACAATATACATCCTTGTCGTACTCCTTTTCCTATGCTAAACCAATCAGTTGTTCCATATCCGGTTCTAACTGTCGCTTCTTGGCCCTTATACAGGTTTCTCAAGAGACATGTGAGGTGGTCTGGTACTCCCATCTCTTTAAGGACCTGCCATAGTTTGTTGTGATCCACACAGTCAAAGGCTTTAGCATAGTCAATGAAGCAGAAGTAGATATTTTTCTGGTACTCTCTTGCTTTCTCCATAATCCAGCGAATGTTGGCAATTTGATCTCTAGTTCCTCTACCTCTTCGAAACCCAGCTTGTACTTCTGGTAGTTCTCTATCCACGTACTGTTGAAGCCTAGCTTGTAGGATCTTGAGCATGACCTTGCTAGCATGTGATATGAGTGCAATTGTGCGATAGTTTGAACATTCCTTGGCATTGCCCTTCTTTGGGATTGGAATGTATACTGACCTTTTCCAATCCTGTGGCCACTGTTGCGTTTTCCAAATTTGCTGGCAAATGGAGTGCAGAACTTTAACAGCATCATCTTCTAAGACTTTGAATAGTTCAGCTGGAATACCATCACCTCCACTAGCTTTGTTGTTAGTAATGCTTTCTAAGGCCCATTTAACTTCACATTCCAGGATGTCTGGCTCGAGGTCAGTGATTATACCGTCGTGGTTGTCAAGGACATCGAGGTCTTTCTTGTATAGTTCTTCTGTGTATTCTTGCCATCTTTTCCTAATCTCTTCTGCTTCTGTTAGGTCCCTACCGTTTTTGTCCTTTATCATGGCCAGCTTTGCATGGAACGCTCCCTTGATTTCTCCAACTTTCTTGAAGAGATCTCTAGTCCTTCCCATTCTATTGTTTTCTTCTATTACTTTGCACTGTTCATTCAGGAAGGCCTCCTTATCTCTCCTTGCTGTTCTCTGGAAATCTGCGTTCAGTTGGGTAAATCTTTCCTTTTCGCCTTTGCCTTTCGCTTTCCTTCTTTCCTCTGCTATTTGTAAAGCCTCATCAGAAAGCCACTTTGCTTTCTTACATTTCTTTTTCTTTGGGATGGTGGTGATTGCTGCCTCCTGTACGATGTCACGAACCTCTGTCCATAGTTCTTCAGGCACTCTATCTATCAAATCCAGACCCTTGAATCTATTCTTCACCTCTACTGTATATTCATCAGGGATGCGATCTAGGTCAAACCTGAATGGCCTCGTGGTTTTCCCAATTTTCTTCAGTTTAAGTCTGAATTTTGCAATGAGTAGCTCATGATCTGAACCACAGTCAGCTCCAGGTCTTGTTTTTACTGACTGGATAGAGCTTCTCCATCTTTGACTGCAAATTATATAGTCAATCTGATTTCGGTGTTGCCCATCTGGTGATGTCCATGTGTAGAGTCGCCTCTTAGGTTGTTGGAAAAGGGTGTTCGCTATGACCAGTGTGTTCTCTTGACAAAACTCTGTTAACCTTTGCCCTGCTTCATTTTGCTTTCCAAGGCCAAACTTGTCTGTTATTCCAGTTACCTTTTCACTTCCTACTTTAGCATTCCAGTCCCCTATGATGATGAGGACATCATTTTTTGGTGTTAGTTCTAGGAGGTGTTGTAGGTCTTCATAGAACCGGTCCACTTCAGCCTCTTCTGCATCAGTGGTTGGGGCATAGACTTGGATTACTGTGATGTTGAATGGTTTGCCTTGGAATCGGACAGAAATCATTCTGTCATTTTTGAGATTGTATCCCAGTACTGCCTTTTGCACTCTCTTGTTGACTATAAAGGCCACACCATTTTTTCTACGAGATTCCTGGCCACAGTAGTAGATATAATGGTCTTCTGAGTTAAATTCGCCCATTCCTGTCCACTTTAGTTCACTGATTCCTAGGATATCGATGTTCAGTCTTGCCATCTCATTTTTGACCACGTCAAGCTTACCTTGATTCATAGATCTTACATTCCAGGTTCCTATGTCCAGGGGGTTCACACACACACACACACACACACACACACACACACATACAGTACAGGTGCTTTAAGTGTCAAGTAGTTATGGTCTAAGGGGGAGCACCTGGTATGGTCATGTGGAGATAGACATGGGTTCCAAAGATGCATCTCAGCACTAAAAGATACTGTTTAGGTCAAGGTGCGTGTGTGGGGGGGGGCAGGTCAAGAGTCTAATGTGTTGAGCAGGCTGGTTTAGAGTCCTGTTGTGGCATGAATGTGCTCTGAAAGCCCCGGGCAGCTTTCAGATGAGAATCAGGTATCAACAAGTTGAACTAAAACTCTGTTTCATAAGACAGATTCAGGTGGGTGGCCATGTTGGTCTGAAGTAGCAGAGCAAAGTTCAAGTTCCGTGGCACCTTTAAGACCAACAAAGTTTATTCTTGGTATAAGCTTTCGTGTGCAGGCACACTTCTTCAGATACAAAGGAATGGAAATTACCAGTCCATACATATAGGCAGAGAGTGACCAGTAAATTTGCATACAGCATAAGAAAGATGTTTAACAGATTCAAGGACCAAACAAGGATAACAAGCTTAGTTTATATGTGTCAGACTCCTGGTCAAGAGACTCCCAACAACACTCTCTTTGGCAGTGATTTGTTTATTGAGATATCACCATGATCCAGATTAGAGCAGTACTGTGTCAGAACTGAGGTTTTTGGCGGAAACCTCTACAGATATAGACAATTTGAAAGTGGGTCTCCCCCCCCCCCGGGTTCATCCATTCGTTTCACACAGCCGTCCCGCCTAAGCCATTAGCATCTACGCCCAGTTTGGGCACGCGGTCTCTAAAAGGTTCGCCATCACTGGGCTAAGGCTTTGCAGGTTGGGGTCATGGGAGCATTGTGAGAGAGGGGTGCTCCTTGATTACGAACAGCAGGGCTTGCTCCTTGAAGCCCACGGGACTGAACCTGTGCCCGGTCTGGGCTGAATTTGTTCCCCTTGAAAGTTGCTGCAGTAATTTGAAATTTCAGCCTCCCTCGGAGTTCACGCAAGGGATGCTGCCCGTCATTTTAGATGCCCTTGGGGTGGTGGTGGTGATGCTGCTGCTGCAGCTGCATCTGTGCTGGGTTATGTAATGGCACATTGTGGTGTGGCTGAGTGCATATCAGGCTGCATCCGGGATATAAAGGGTTGGGGTTGCGCACATAATCGCATCCTCAAGCTCTAAGTGGGTTTGTGTGAGTTCACCATATTAATTTGTCCCCCTCCCCTCTTTATTTTTAGATATGGACTGAAGCCAAATGACCAAATCTTGGCAGAAGAGAAACATAAAGAGCTGTAAGTCTGTAAATACATTTCTGATCTGTCACTTCTGAAAATGTGCTTTTGACTTTTCTGTTTGAAACATTTTAAACTACTATTATAAACAGATTTTGCTATGAAGGGCTGCTTTGCCCCATGGTTTCAGGGTTGCTGAAGATTTGAACATTGGTGTCTGGTCTGTTTAGTGTGTGTTTTTTAATGTTTATGTTTAGTGGGCAACGTTTAAAAATTATTTTCATTAAAAATCAGCAGCTAAAATGTGCCTACAGAAAGTGATATGGTACTTAAACAGTGTTTTACATCCACAGGTTAATAAGTTCTGATCAATAAACATATTTGGGGCCATCTTTGGAACACTGTTTGGGGACACTACTGCTAATGTGTTCTTTAAGTAAATGTTGCTATATATAGAGAGAGAGTAATTGCCTGAGCAGTGAACATATTTTACAGCATACGTTGCTACTTTTCCCTTTAATTTCATTAACTCTGCTCTTGTAAAATTGTCAGTTTGGTATTGTGAATATAAACAGAACTATAACATCATAGGCACCTTTTCTTAACTAAATGGGGTCATTTTTTCTCTCTTGTGAAGTCTGTTCACAATGAGAGCACAGCGACTTTTGTTCATATATTTACAAGGGTGCCTGCTGAATTCAAACACTACATCAGATGCTGAAATATGGTTTGGAGTGTGGCGGAACGGGCCCGCGTCAGCTGGCAGACCCCGCTCTGCCCACCCCTCCTTTGCCTGACCTGGCACCTGAAGGGGCAGTTTTTAACCACTGCCTCCGGGTATTGCTGCCACCACTCTCCCTGTCTTGGGCTCTGGTTAGGCGGGACAGCCTCCTAACCTCCCTCTGCTGTCGCTAAGAACCCACCTTGGGGCTTCCTGGTAATCTTCGGGGCTCCCCTGGAGAGTTGGCAACTGACCATTTTGCCCTTATTCTCCTCAGGGAGTCCCCAACCCACTCCTAGCGTGTCCAAGCGGCTGGGGGAACTATGCGGTACAGAGGGACTTCTCAGGGTCAACAGTAAAAGAATTTATTTTGAAAACACTCAACTATATACAGGCATATTAACAGTGAACTGAAGAATCAAAATAAAGGTGGATAATAAATCGCTCCATCTCTCCCTTCACTACACTGATGCCCTGTCTAGATGGTCTGCAGGGCAGGCACACGACTTGCTTCCACTGGAGGAAGTTAGATTAGTACAACTCCCAACATGGCCTCTCTGCCTCCTGCACTCTCCAGCCGACAGCCTGACTGGCTCCAGACTTCAGGCAGACCGACCTCAATTCTCCAAGACTGCTTTCCCGCCCAAAAGCTCCCCTATATCAAACAGCCCTTCCCGCCCAGGAAGCGGCTCTCCCTCCTGCAGCATTATGGGGCAGATCTCCTCACAGCCTTGATGGACTTCCTGTCCTCTCTAGGGAGCTGCCCTCTGACTGCTGGTTGGAACAAGGAGGGGGGGAAATGAGGAGGAGTAGGCCAAGGCCTACCTCAGGTTTCATGGTCTCCTCTTATCTGGCCCACACCAACTTAAACATATACATAAAATGGCGTTTCTCCACAGGGAGCATCAAGTTTGGTTGTAAATCTCCTTCTGTATGTTGAGCCTGTTGGCTAGAACGTAATTGAGATATAGAAAAAGGAGATGGGATTGCAAACTTAAAACATCTATTTTATGCTGGAACTTAATGGCCCACTTTTACTCCTTTGAAGCCTGCAGGGCTGCTCTTTGAGGACAGTGACCAGACCCTTGGGGAAAATGGGAGGGCAGAAACTAGAGGACAGTTCTGTAGGTTCCTTCTGTAGAGCAGACGTGGATGAAAAAGTTTTCCCCTTGGAAGTCCTGTGTGTCCACAGGATAGAGAATGAGATTTGGATCCTGCAGATCTGGATTTGTCTACCTTGGATTCGCTTAGGACAGGGGTGTGCAACATAAGGCCCGTGGGCCAGAATCGGCCCATCCAGGGCTCTTATGCAGCCCACGAGCAACTGGTGCAAGGGAGGAAACAGGAGGCTGCTGGGGAAGTGGGCGGAGCCACTCTGATTGGGGCTTCAGCATGGCGGAACAACCTCGTCTGCAGCAGTCAAGCAACATGGGAGCATCTGCCCAGTGCTGGACCACTGGCTCTCCAGTCCGCCCATGTGGGTTTTCCTTTGCACCCTCCTCCCAGCCCACGGGGCCTTGCAGGGAGGATACACCAACTCAGAGCTTACTAGCTGCTGTCCTTTATACAGTTTATATATCTCTGGTACCTGGCATTACAGTTATGATACACATGGCCCGGCCCAACAAAGTGACATTTATGTCAGATCCGGCCCTCGTAACAAATGAGTTCGACACCTCTGGCTTAGGAGATTCTGCGCATGCCGTGTCTTTCTTCTTCTTCTTCTTCAGAGTAAAAGAGTAAGAGTCCAGTAGCACCTGAAAGACTAACACAGTTTGTGGTAGGTCTTACTGGACTCTTACTGTTTTCTACGGGCAGATAGGTGAGTCTCAGTCAAATGTGTTATTATTTTGCACCTCATTCTATAGTCCTGTGCAGCCTTTCGGTGTTATCTCATTGTATTTAAAATGTTGGGAGAATTGCCTGCTAATCCCAGGGGTCTACAATTTTTTTGGGCCTGCAGGCACATCTGAAATTTGTTCACGGCATGGTGAGCGCAGCAACAAAATGGCTGCCACAAAATGGCTGCTTCAGGAGGCGGAGCCAGCCACTAAATGATTGCGGCAGCTTAACCTCAGTAACATGGTATAGATTTGTGTGCTGTGGTGACAGTTGCTGCCTAAGCAACTTTAAAAAAGATTACACAGCCAATCAGAAGCCTTGTGAGGCAAAAGCCCTACCTGGCTCCACCAACTTCCTAAAAACACTGGGCGGGCACCAGAATAAGTGTTGGTGGGTGCCATGGTGCCCATTGGCACCACATTGGGACCAGTGTTTCCTCTAAGCTGAGTTAGTGTGAGCTAGCTCACAGGTTTTTAGCCTCCGGCTCACACATTTTTGTCTTAACTCAGGAAGGATGGCTCCAGAGCAGACTAATTTATGCAGTAGCCAAATTGCCCGCTCACAACTTTCATGCCAGTAGCTCACAAAGTGGAATTTTTGCTCACAAGACTCCACAGCTTAGAGGGAACATTGATTGGGACCCCTTCCCTAAGGTTAAGATAATGTACTGGCTTAGCTGTTTATGCTGTAGCATCACTAAATGCTCATGTTTCATGTTGGGGTGGTACTTGCTGTGTTCACACTTCTTGCTACTTTTCATTTTATGTGCCTTCAGCAGTAAATTTCCACCTTTATCCAGCTGCCACAAGCAAATGGAAACTGTTTTTATACAACTTTTCCCCCCCCCCCCCCCGAATAACTGACTCAGAAATGGAAAGTGTACACAGACATGGGATCAGGGGGGAAACCGGCACACGGGGTTGGTATTGGAATTGATCCCTCGGCTTCCAGGATGGAGCCAGCTGAAAAAGCAATGGAACTGTTGGCTGCATGTATCTTAAATGGCCTGTGTACAGGGTGGGGGAGCCGACAGGCAGAAGAAGGGAAGGATGCTCTAGCTGTTATTTGTTTTGGCTTGTGGAAAATAACTTGTGGCCGTCTGGTGGCCTTAAAAAAAGCAAAACAAAACAAAAAGCCACAAAGCTGTGTTTACTTCTCTGTGCAAGTCAGACTTTCCCTCTTGCAGGAAGAGCTGCTTCTGCCTTTGGGTTCCTGTAATAATCTTTTTTTTTTCCTGCTGCAAAAACGCCTTTTAAGGGCAACGATACTTAGGCTGTCCTTTTTTGTGGTTTTTGAAGTAGCTTTCTTTTTTTTGGAGGGTATGCACTTTGTGTGTGTGTGTGCAGCAATGTTCCCTCTAAGCTGTAGAGCCTTGTGAGCAAAAATTCTACTTTGTGAGCTGCTGGCATTAAAGTTGTGAGCGAGCAACTTGGCTACTGCATAAATTAGTTTGCTCTGGAGCCATCCTTCCTGAGCCAAGACCAAAATGTGTGAGCTGGAGGCTAAAAACCTGTGAGCTAGCTCACACTAACTCAGTTTAGAGGGAACACTGGTGTGCAGTAATACTTAACTAGTGCCCACAAAGCAGTGTTGCGAGAGTGTTCTGTTCCAATACCCATATTTGAAACGTTACCTTTCTATGGATGATTTGCAGCGTCTTATTTTGTATCGGAACGACATGCGAAAGAAGTGCCGGCCGAAAGAAGCTACCTTTCCCCCTCCCTCAGCCAGTTCTTCCTTGAATCACATTCCAAAGTTCTCTCTGCAATATGTGATCTTTAGAAAGCAGGGAAAAAACATTCGCTGTTTTATGCAAAGTCTTCCTTTGTGCAGCCTTGCTCTCCTGTTTCTGTATTCAAATAGGCATTGCTGTCTGGTTGCAAACCTTAAACCTGTGATAGTGTGCAGGTTTTGCTGCAGCAGAGATGCCATAGGGCTTCTCTGCATGCTGTAGAAACGGTGCCAAGCTCTCGGCCTCTTGCTTAAAGGTGGTTTCCAAATGTGGACAGGTTTCCCTGCTGCTGGTGGGGCAGCTGACAGGCGCAGTAGCAAGGAGGGCTTCCACATCACAGGTTTCCCTGCCGTAGCCCCTCAGCAGCCGCCTGCTGCCCCCTGCCCTGGGCCACCAGGGCATTTGTAGTGGCTGCTGTTTGGGCTTTTTTATAATCTACACTAGAATATGATGTTATCAGTATAACATTATAGCAATACAAGAAGCGGGACCCGCAATACTCGCAGGGGGGGAGTATTCCCCGTGGCTCCCGAGCCACCAAGGCTTCTCCCCACCGCCACCACGGCCCACAACAGCAACACTGGCGAGCCCTGAGCAGATCCGAGCCGCCAGGCCTGCCAGACTCTCCGGCCGCTGCCGCCACCCACAACAGTAACACTGGCGAGCCCTGCACGGCTCCAAGCCGCCAGGCCCGCCAGGCTTTCCCCCACCAACAGCAGCAGCAACGGCCACAGCTTCTAGACTCCCCCTGCCCCTGCCAGCACC